GGTTACCCTATTTATCATGATTATATTGTGTCTAGGTTACCCTATTTATCATGATTATATTGTGTCTAGGTTACCCTATTTATCATGATTATATTGTGTCTAGGTTACCCTATTTATCATGATTATGTTGTGTCTAAGTTACCTTAATTATCATGTACTCTTATCAATTTATTTTTATAAATAGAAGATTATGAGAGGGATCAATTAAGTTCTCTAGAATTATTTCTTTTCAATCTCAAGTATCTCCAACATCCACTTTTGGTAACAATTTAAAAGACATTTCTTAGATTTTTTTTCTAGAAGATTTTGGGGATGGGGGAAGTTATGAAAACATAAAACTAGTATATGTTTGAGCAAGGGAAAAAAGGAAATGTAGAATTTAGATTACATGTGATAGTATAATAAGTATTACTACTAACTAACTGACTGAAGACCCAGATAGAAAACCAGGATCTTATCTTATTCCCAACCAAGCTCCACAATGTCACTAGGACAGCGCATCAAAAAACTTGGCATACCATTACCATATTTGAGGTTTTCTTTCAAAGTAGATGCCTTTTACCACCATAAAAGCAAGTACAATGCGTCTTAAACCATAACTACTAAAGATATAGAACAGTACATAATTTTGAGAAAGTTACTATGTGTCACATACACATAGGGATACCTTGTGACGAAGTCATTTTTAAATGAAAACGAGAAAAGAAAATCCAGATCATACAATAATATATCTATATTTTAAAGTTTAAGCCACAATCTTCTAATTTAATATCATAGTATTCAAAGCATCCTTTTGTTTTATTCCTGTCAGTTTAAACATAATTATTTCTTTGACAGTTATGATAGAAATATTTCATCACATAACTTACCTTATCTCAGCTCGCAAGTGTTGAACATCATGTGCCTTGGCATATTCTTGTATGGCCTTAATATCAACTCCAAAATATCCAAGCAATTGTAAGGAAACACAATGTTTCATTTACTAGACTAAATATTTGGTCTTTGTCTAAAACGATGAAAGTGAATCTAATTAAACAAATTGATTAGGATACTCAAGGTCTGGATTTTGTTGTAAACAAAATATTGTTTTCACTCCAATTCTATGCAACTTCTCAACATCGTCAGGAGTCTGGCAATTTGAGTAAAAGAAAATAAAAGTCAGATGAACAGACAAGAATGGACATAATTTCATTAGGTATCCATGATTAAAACAAAAATACCTGTGGGCATGATCCCACAATTAAGTCTGGACGGATGAAGTTATAGTTCATTCCTAACTCGTGCCTATAAGTCAAAACTGAGTAGCACTTTGTTAGAAAGGGTAACCAGATGAATTATTCAAAGAACAAAATAATAGGATAGGCAATTGAGGGCTCCTATAGTTAATCCAAACTATTGTTTGAATATGACTATTACAAAACCTAAGAATGTTAGAAATAATTGCATCCCAATATGAAATATTTTGTCACAGCTTACACCAAAAAAGAAATTACAAACGACGAGGGAGCTTCAAGCAAGATACTCTAGGTTTACCCCAAATTGTATTTCATTTCTTTTACTAATCTAGAACCACAAAGTAGAAAAAGACCAAAAAATGTGAGAAATGTAGATCAAATGGAATATATTCTGATTCAAAGGCGCTGAAGAAAACTTAGGAGACACCATTAAAACAAGACCTTGCTCTATATTGAAATTTAGGTTTCTGCAGGGGCCTAAATGTGCAGTCAAGTCTATATAACAAGATAAGACTACATCATTGTTGAACTAGAAGAACCAAAAAAATTAAACATACCAACACCCATGGCTTCGGTCATGTTATGAGAATATGTCTCAGACTTTTCCTCTTCCTTGCTGACATTACTTTTGTCTGCACTTGGTACAGAACCTGAAGCAGCCTGCAAAAGAAAATGTCAATCAAGTTCTCTAGAAAGTATGAAGCAGAAACGACATGAATAGCATATACCAATAAGTTCATTTACACAGTCAAGCCTGAGGATGAATATTTTTTTGTTTTGGCATATAAATAACAAACATTGTTCATCTTTTTAGAATTTAATAGTCACTGCTACAGCAATATCTCCTTGTTTTCTTTACATTTAAATTTGTTCGTTGGCTCACACCAAAAATGACAAATCTTACAACTTTCAAATGACAACACCGTCATGAATTCTGGTAGATTCCAGAATATGCCGTGAGCAATCCACAATTTCCACGCATTCACATGTTCTAATTATTCTATCCATAACCTCGTGTAATCCTCACAAAAGCTGAATCAGGTTCAAGGCAATGAATATATTGAGCAATAAAAATCCAGTAATACTATCTTATTAGATGGATCTTGACAAAATGCTTTATTATTCCAAATCTTAGCATTTGGGTGGGAACAAATTCAATACTACATAACCGACTTATAATGAGTATAACTTCCACCGTACATAGTTCAATCAGGTCATATCACTAGTCGTACAACAGAGACTCAGGATTTGTTTAGACAAACTTCTTCAAAAGACTTCCGGAAGATTAAAATTAACTAGTGCATAGGCTAAAAAGCAAGATTGGGA